AATATATATTGTATATTTGAATGTAAATGAATAAAATTTCACGAGCTTAGTTCCTACTTACCCTTTCCAACAAACACCAAGTGTCCCTGTATTGCTGTAGAAACACCAGAGGTGTCAGAATAGAGGCATAGAGGGCTGCCTCACGGTCCAACAAATCCTCGCCCTCTGACATGCCGTGTACCGTCGCTCGATATTTGTGCAGAAACGCTGTATTTGCGTGGTCCTTGTCAAAGCTAGAAAGTGAGAATTTATTCATTATTAATTTATTGCAACCTAGCAAAAGTTCACAGAACATGGGCCCCCAGCCATGGATAACCTCATATGGGGAATATTTGCATAGTTACCACGCTTGGCAGGCGGTTTTTATAATCGCTGTTTTTATTATATTCTACCGACTTCAAAAAGGAGATATTCAATTCAGCTGTATGTTTTTTATGTGTGTACCGATTTCGATGATTCTTTTTTCACTTGAAAACTGGTGCTTCTAACGTGGTCCCATATAAATTTAGTCAAGGTCTGACTAATAGTTTTTGAGTTATTCTTAATAATTTATATTGAAGTCGTTGTACAAAATTTTTCATTTTAAATTTATGAGTTATCAGGAAGTTGCTGCTGCCCATCTGTTTCATTTCCCTCTGTAACATGTTACAGCACCCACGGGTTGATATGGGGTAGTAGATTCTGTATGTTAATATAGAAAGCTTTATTGTATTATACTGTGCCATATTACTTATATTTAGTTTAAACGTTATTATATTATGTTAACAACTTTAGGCCTCTGGATTCCTTTCCTACCTAGGAGCACGTCTGGATTAGTATAATCTTCTTACCTATTTAAGCCACCAAGTAGTATCGCATCCATTGCTATATTCCTGTGTTGTGGCTTTTGCAACCTACTGCAATCATAATTCGATGTTTATACTATTCACAACCAATCGCGTGTCGCATCACATTACATGAGAATTTTCCCGAAAATAAGGGTCACCTTTGTAAATGTGTAGACGTAAAAATAGACAACGCTCAAACTAATTGATGTAAGCAAAACGCAAACTTATATCTAAGTAAAAAAAGCCTTTTCTCCTATGTACATATTATAGTATTGTCCCATTGAAAAAGATAATAATTTGAATGAACCGGATCGACCCAGAATGTTCTACATTTCTCTTATTGGGTATGAAAGCGTGCGCCGCCGATCAAACTGGAAGCGACTACGAGCAATCGACCTACAACGTTTACGATTATTAAGGGCCTCTTTAAAGAAGCTTAGCGGTTATGGATGATTTGATGGTATACTTGCTGTGTATATGAAAGAATACATGCATTTCTTATTCACGGATCTCAATGGAGACTAGCCATCTGCGCTGGACAGGATTATAGCGCCCAAATATAAGCGCAAGCACAGGTGCACACTCTATTTCCTCACTCTCATAAACTTATACACTACATTATACAGTGCCAATACTCACTACGGTAGGATAGCGTAAACACGCCTCACTATATCTCTGGGCATAGGTTTGATGCGAATGCAGGCTTCTCCAACATCATCTTGCCTCTTCGTTAGCTTATAAGTGAGCTTTTCGCCAGAAGGCTGATACTCACGTTCCACTGACACCAAATCCACAGAGTCAGACGTTGACTAAACGGAGGTAATAAACATATAAAAATAATTATACGTATATAAAATTTTTATACGTGGTAGAGCCATGCTGCATATTAGTAGGTCGGCTCGACCGGGGAATGATCATGCTCTCACAGAATACCAGCGTCAAATGGCAGCATGACACTGCTGTATTTCGTATGGTGAGTGTAGAGAACTGGAGACCCATTTTACTGGAAAAGAGGCATTCCATCTTAGTGCCCACTGGTGACAACGCATCTGCATTTTGATTCTTTATTGAGGATAAATGTAGATGTCTATGGGTCACATCAACCACTTACCATCAGGTGGACTATGTGCTCGTTTGTCACCCTATCCTATAAAAAAAATATAAAAATAGCCCAAAAATCATTAATATATCGATGTATCTACACAACCTGGAAGAATCCTAAACGCAATTATTTGTGTAGCAGATAGTTGTGCTATAATCTCCGTTTTTTTTTATAGAATAACGATGATTTACGAGCACACAGTCCATCTGATGGTAAATGGATGCTGTGGCCCATAGAAATTACATCTTTTCTCGATCAAAATGCAGATCCGTTGTCACCGCTGAGGAAGAAGAGGGAATATCACGTTTCCACTAAAAAAGAGTCTCCGGTCTCCTCTACACTCGCCGTAAGAAACACATTAAAACACACGGAGCACATGCTACAACTATAATATAGCTGCAACGTGGCTCTACCAAGTAAAATATACCTTCTACCACAATTATTTTTATACTTAAAAGAAATCCTCAAACTTAAACTAATTTTAGAATATGTTGGAAACAATAAACTTTCATTTCATCTTTATATATAAAAATTACGTGTCACATTGTTTGTCCACGATGAACTCCTAAACTATTGTACTGATTACAATGAAATTTTGCACACTGTGTTCAGTTTGGTCCAACTTGAGAGATAGAATAGTTTTTATCCCTATAAGTGACCCTCAATGTTTTTTATTACGAATTTAAGAATTCTTATAGGACACAGGGACGTCGGAGAGAGCAGAACAACGTCTGCCCGGCCAGCTAGTATTGTAGCACGAATAGGTCAGCTAAACCGAAGCAGCCCCCTAGTACATAAAGTGACGACCTGGGACTGACATAGGACCGTATTTTATAGCGTTACTTAGGGGAGGCCTATGTTCAACGGTGGACTTGTAAGGGCTTATAATATTATAGATAAATGATATTACTGTGTCGCGATTTCAGGATCCACATCATAGCCCAAGGAATTATTTATGATATAAATTGTAGACATCGGAAAAGGAACGATTCCCTCACAGAACAAGTATTTGTATGGCCTTTTTTGTTGTTCCGGATCTGGATGATTGTGCTTGTGAAATGTGTGTAGGTATGTAAACTGCCTCCACGATACAGAAAAAAATCTTAGTGTGAGGTAATGTTGTAAAAAAAATGACGAATGGGTCAGCTAAACCGGGGTAGAAACACGCTATCACAGAATACCAGCGTAATTTTGATTCTTGATTGAGGATAAACGTAGATGGTTATGAGCCACAAAATCCACTTACCGTCAGGTGTACTGTGTTTATTCTATAAAATAATCTTAGGTATCACTTCATTAGCTGTATGGACCGTGAAGTAGGGACGTTAGAATAACTACCGTCCCGTATGCACGATATGTGTATGTCGTAAGAGGCAACAGAGGGAAATGAAATAGGAGATAGTCAACATTCATCGAAATAATTTTAAAAAAAATGCGGTTGACAATCTCCGTGCCAAGCGTGACAACTATGAAAAATATCCCTTGAAGAATATATGGGGAGGCCTAAACTCAGCAGTGGACTTTTAATAGGCTGAAATGGAGAATATATGGATGGTATAGGCCTAGGACTAACGTTCATATTATGTAATTTATATTTTCTGTACTTACCACATAGACTAAACAAAGCAATAAAACATATGTTCGTAGCGCCATAGCAGTAATTTTATTTCAGTCATGATATTCGTATTCCAAAGTAATCATTTGATGCGGCTAGAAATGAAAAAATATTTAAAAAAAATATACCAACAAATTAATAATTCACATTAGAAATATTTTCTGAAAGAAGTTTATTTTCTGTCAATTTTCATCGACCACAAACTAACCACAAACTATAATAAGAAGTTCGTTAATTAACTTTACAGAACTATAGATACAAAGATTATTTTAGATGTCACAGATAGTCCATTATGTTGTATACCTTTTAAATCATATGGTTATAAAAACATATTTATTAAATTATATTTGATTTCAAGAAATTAGTAGTTTACTGCCACTCACTCCATGATTGGCGACGGTTATATCGCTCCGCGACAGTCTTCACAATGATGTTGTTGACCAGATTCTGTGTAAGCAATGAGCCGGTCTTTTTGCATATAATAGCGTAGAAATCATCGGTAAGCGCAAACATGCCTGAAGCACAGCAAAACTGTCAACCACGTAATCGTGCCTTTCCTGACCCGTACCTAAAGCAAATAGTGTATGTATAAATCTCTAAATTTAGTATTTAGTATACGTGGTAGAGCCATGCTGCAGCTATATTATGGTTGTAGCACGAATGGGTCTGCTCGACCGGGGAAGGACCACGCTCTCACAGAATACCAGCGTAAAATGGCAGCTTGATGCAGCTGTGTTTTGTATGGTGAGTGTAGAGAACCGGAGACCCATTTCACTGGAAAAGAGGCATTCCATCTTAGTCCTCACTGGTGACGACGCATCTGCATTTTGATTCTTTATTGAGGATAAATGTAGATGTCTATGGGTTACAGCAACCACTTACCATCAGGTGGACTGTGTGCTCGTTTGTCACCCCATCCTACAAAAAAATGTCATCATCATCAACATATATATAATTACAAGCTGTGAGGCATTCCATCTTAGTCGTCAGGTGTGACAACGCATCTGTAGGCTTTTTTTATAGGATAGAGTGACAAATGAGCACACAGCCCATCTGATTGCGTTGTCACCCGTGGGGACTAAGATGGAATGCCTCTTTATCAGAAAAAAGGGTCTGAGGTTCTCTACACTCACCATATGAAACACAGCAGTGTTAAGGTGCTATTTGACGCTCGTATTCTGTGAGAGCGTGGTCCTTCCCCGGTCGAGCCGACCCATTCGTGCTACAACTATACTTCTAATATATGTAGCTGCAGCGTGGTGCAGCTACATATATTCTTCTCTTTGTTTGAAATTGTTTGCAGATGTCCACGGCCTGTTATAGCCGCTTACCATCACGTGGGCAGTAAGTTCGTATATCACTTCAATTTTCTAAAAGAAACAACGGAGGTTGTAACATAAAGGAAAATAAATACAAAAATCAAATCAAAAAACATTTAATAACAATACAAAAATCATTATAAAACAGTAAATGCAATAGTCAAAACATTAAAAAATCCCGCCAATTTCGCTGCATTACTTTTTTTCGCAACGGCTTGCGTTTCTCCTTGGGTATCCGCTTGCCGCACCTGCTCCAATAAAGGAGTGCTGGAGTAATCTGACTCCAAAGTCAGGTTATCTTGCTGTTCTTGGTGGTCCTGAAGCTAAATAATTTACACGTTAGGCCCCATTTGCAGTAGAGTTAAAAATGTTTAAACCGGCCGTACTCCGCAAGACAATAACTTAGTTTAATGCTCACCATGGAGTGTATGATTATAGTAGTAATATCCTCTAGACTGAATTTCGGTCACGGTAGCTAGTCTCAAAGGACACCAGCCAACTTCGCAGGACAGAATTATGGTGCAAAAGTGTGTGTGCAATTATAGGTGCACTCTTACGCTGATATCTATAGACTGTACTTTGACTTTGCTCAGACTTTACTTTCGAGCTAAGACAATGTCAGTATTTAGAGAGCTAACTTCGAAGACGTGCTGAGTGCGCCCTTGGTAAAGCATAAGTCAACGAAATCAACGACTAACTTAAAACTCAGGATATTATCCGAAACCACCGTATTAATTTTGAAATTTTTGTTATTATATTAATCTAATTATTTGTAATAATAAATAGGTCGTTTTAATATGTCTTCTAGTTTTAAATAGCTTAAATATTTAATAATTTAAATATTATTATTACGTAATTTTAAACTTATTTCAAATTTTTTAAACTTTTTTATTATTTTTTTCTGATTTGTGCTCTTCACATCCGTTCCCGTTCTCATACGCCCGTTTTCTATTTCATATAATAATAACTTATTTATGTTTTATAATAATACAATAGTTTTATACAATAAAATCAGGAATACTCGTATAATGCGTGGAATAAAGCATCCATTATTTTTTTGACTGTCTTTTGGGTCTTAGGATAAGCTTCGCTTAATCTTAGAACGATACAACTATAAATTCAGAACCAAAGATTATGTTAAGCACATACTCAGCTAAGTTTTTCGTAAGTAAAGTCTGAGCAAAGTCAAAGTCAGAGCAAAAAGTAGACACATGTCTATGGGCCACAGCATTTACTTACCATCAGGTGGACAGTGTACTCGTTTGTCAGCCTTATTCTATAAAATAAAAATAACAATAATCTCTTTTCAAAGAAGCGTTATATGTAACATTTTTTTGAATTATTTTTCCATACTCAGTGAGGCATATTGACGTGCGGGCCGCTACACTCACATGAATACCAGAGTCAAGGAGAATTTGAAGCTTCATACAACTAACTATCTTGCAATGCACGCTTATTGGCGTGGGATTCACATACAGTAACAGCAAATAAATTAACACGATATTTAGTACTACCGACGCGGGCATCACGTTAGTCACGTTATATCGCCGTAAACATGCTCAACTTCTTGACACGCACTCACGCACGCATTTTTTTCTTTAGTCCGAAAAAGTTCATTGCCTAAATGTACACACGCCTCGACTTCGACTGGGAAAAATAGAATTAAGAAGAAAAATTAAGACTATTTATTTATCAACTTTTCGTTTGTTTTTAAGTATCTATTTTATTCTTTATTGAGGATGGATATAGATGTCTATGGGTCACAGCAGTCACTTACCATCAGGTGGACTGTGTGCTCGTTTGTCACCCTATCCTATAAAAAACCCCATATCGAGGAGCAACGATTATGTGTTTGTTACACAATCATTAAACCTCATACAAACTAAACTAATTTTCTTACCATATCCATGTCCCTCGACCGAGGCAGTTTCTCTAGTGCATCAACATTCTCAGGCTGGGAAGTACGCTTCGGCTGTAAATTGTTTTAGGTAAATAATGCAATAAAAAATAACACGTTTCTCTTATTTGACAGATGTTATTACTATAAAAAGGTAAGCCTATGTACGTCCACATACTGGGCACAAGCCTCCAATCACTTCTGAGTGAGAGGTTCATGTAGCAGTTACTGGCGTCTCGAAATTCCAGTGAGAGTTGGTGGATTTCACATGTCTTCGAAACATTTTATTTCTCAGACATGCTGTTTTCCTTAAATTTTGTTTCACCGATAAACACGAAAATCGACATTAAACTCGAACTCGGGATAAATATGAGGCCTCTATAATACCTTTACATTAGCCGGCGTGTTAGAGTATTGTCAGAGATCCCGCTTTACTGATGCGCGTGTCAGTTAAAATAATAAATTATTTCATTAAATTAATTTTTATTTTTAATTAAATTATTGTATGGTCGAGTTTTCTAAGTAAAGTTCTTTCTATACGTTTGAATACTGATTGTGATAACACACTTAACGGGAACCACAGGGTTTTTGGTACACGTGTATATTTTGGACCGTTTCCTTTCACCTATTTTGGTCTTATCTAGGCTGACTTTTCAAACAAGGCAGATTTATTATGAAATATGTTACAAAGTTGTTAATAAGGAGGAATTACGATCTCCAATCTGGTATTTTTAATATCCATTCAGTATACGCATAAGTACTAATTTATTTATTCTGTGCTACAGCACAATAGCGCAGAATAAATAGTTGTAAGAATAGTACAACCTTTTTAATTTGTGGGACTTTATAGATTTTACTTTTAAAAGACATCGTACCTTAGCTGTTTTCGTTTTCTTTTGATACATATTAAGTGGTGTCACATTTTGAATAAACTCCTCCATGATAAATCGAGCCCGAGCTACCACCGGTTCTAAAACGCGCAAGTGCTCTGCAATGTCCGCAGTCTTCGTTGAAATGAGATATTTGTTTACCTGAAACACAGTAAGCTGTCAAGTACGTACTTTTGCGTTTGACTGACTCGTCGTACAGCGGTCTTAAGCGTGACTGCTGTGGTCCTGGATATGAATTCCAGGTCGGACCAAAAATCAGTTAATAATTTTTCTGCCAAGAAATTCTAACTACCCGGAGTCAGAAAGTGGGCCTCGTTGTTTGAAAAGCGCGTAATCTGTTCTGACTTGTCTTGTCCTGTCCTTTCCTGTCCTTTCATATCCTTCTGTCCTGTCCTCTCCTACACTGTCAGGCCATTCCCCACCCTGACCCGCCCTGTAACGCTCTGCACCGCGCTGTTCAACCCTGTCCTGTGCTGCCCTATTCTGTCTTGTCCAAACCTGCCCTGTCCTTCCGCTCGGTTCCATTCTATACCATTATTTTCCATTCAATTTCATTATATTATATACTATACTGCTATATTAGTAGGTAGTATAGTTGTAGCACGAATGGGTGTGCTCGACCGGAGAAGGACCACGCTCTCTCAGAATACCAGTGTAAAACAGCAGCTTAACACTGCTTTGCTTCGCATGGTGAGTATAGAGCAGGGGTTCCTAAACTTTTAATATAACGTAACACCCACCCACTTCTTTTATGGAACCCCATATCAATTAATTACAAATCGAAGACACTGTAATTTAAATAGGAACAAAAACTTATGTTAGAAATATTTTAAAAGTAAGACACAGTAGGTGTTCTTTACTTTAACTTTTAATGTGAAGAATGACATTGTTTCACTATTTTATCAATAACTGCTTTATAGATCGTTTCAGTTGTATATATTTATTTGTATATATATTGGGGATAGCATTAAATCTCGACCTGAATTTGAAACTGATACGTTGTGACAAATGGAAGCAATGTTAAGATAGCCGTTTTGTCACTTAACACTAACCTAAAATTTATTCATAGATACAGACTCATATGTGTGTTTTAATGTGTATGAACTTGGAAGATCTATGAATTATAATCCAGGACGGTTAGCATTTCAGGTTAACTTCTGATGATAAATAGATTTTGTACCCATTCAATATCAATATCACTATCTGGAAAGTAATATAACAAAGGTTCCAGGAGATTTATCAAATGTCCAGGTATGATAGTTTTAATTTTATTTTGTAATACCAACGCGTTTTTACGCAGAAACTTAGCCTCTTGAAAACCATAGGATTTCTGTGTGCAAGAGGAGTGATTCGTATTGACTACCCATTTCTTCGCACACCTTTTCGAACAATCTTGACTAGAGGCGTCGACTTTTCACGTAATTGACGATCTTTGCAGCTTCATCAAAAACTTTCTTTAAATCAGTTGGCATTTTTTTACTACAAGGGCATAACGATGCAAAATACTAAAATACTAATTCCCGGCGCAATATGTTTTATTTTTGATACCGTGTATTTTATCTTTCCTACTATTGCTTCGGCCCCGTTGCTACATACATCAATACATTTCTTCTTATCAAATGGCTGATGTGCTGAATTCTCGTTTACTACCTACCTACTTACATAACAGTAATGCGTTGTTCTCATCACATATTTTGCGCCTATTCAAAATAATATTTGTATTTAACAGTGGTATTATTTAACAGCCAAAAATAAAAATAATTTCGCGGAACTCTGGTGAAATTGCTACGGACTCCTGGGTTCCGCGGAACCCACTTTAGGAATCACTGGTGTAGAGAACCGGAGACCCTTTTTACCGAAAATGAGGCATTCCATCTTAGTCCTCACGAGTGATAACGCATCTGTAATTTGATTCGTAGTCGAGGATAGATGTAGATGTCTGTGGGCCACAGAAACTACCTACAATCAGGTCGACTGTGTGCTCGTTTGTCACCCTTATCCTATTAAAAAAATATACAATTCTGTTCCGTTCTCTTCCATTCTAATATATTACATTCTATTAAACTCTATTCCATTGTGTTTCAATCTATTCTATTCTATGCTATTCTACTGCGCTGGCAACGTAATCAGCCGTGAAATATCAACAGAATGCTGCTGTGCTTCGTATTGTAAGTGTAGAGAACCAGGTAATTATTTTATTGGTATTCTATTCTATTCTATTAAATATTAAAATGTTCTGGAAGCTCGTAAGAACTGCCAGGGGAAATTCAAAACAGCCTAGAATGAATGCTATACGAGACGAGAATGGCTGCATGCTGAATGATGAAGTTTCGAATTTAAAGAGATGGAAGGAATACTTTGAAAGCGTGTTTAAGAGTGAAGAGTCGTCTGAAATAAGTGAAATAGAAATTCCGGAAGAAGTGGAGAGAGGTAGGGAGATAAGTGTAGATGAAATAATGAAAGCAATGAAAAGCATGAAAGCAGGTAAGGCAGCCGGATATGATAGAGTATCACTCGAAATGCTAAGGGCTGGTGAGGGTGTGGTTGCAGGCCTGCTGCACACCTTGTTTAATTTATGTTGGGAACTGAAACGGGTACCGGAAGACTGGTGCAAAGCCGTTATAGTCCCAATATATAAGGGAAAGGGGTCGCAGCAGGACTGTAAAAACTACCGTGGTATCAGCTTGATTAGCATTGTGGATAAACTGTATGCTAAGGTGTTAATTGAAAGAGTTATGGAAGAAACTGAAGGAAAAATTTGGGATGTGCAAGCTGGATTTAGAAAGGGGATGGGGTGTACGGATCAAGTCTTTTCCATGCGCATGATAGCGGAGAAGTTTTTGGCTAAAAACCAGAAAGTTTTTTGTGCGTTCTTAGACTTGGAAAAGGCTTATGACAGAGTGGACAGGAACGTGTTATGGCAAACACTGAACTCATTTGGGTTGAGCGCTGGCTTGATACAGGCATTAAGGTCTCTTTATAGGGACTCTAGTGCTTGTGTCAGGATCAACGGGGCCTACTCGGACTGGTTTGGCATTCATAAAGGTGTCAGACAGGGATGTGTGGCTTCCCCGTGGCTGTTTAACCTATTTATGGACAGTTGTTTGCAAACTTTGAAAGTTGAAGAATGTGGGTTGAGAATGGGTGAGTCAACCGTCAAATGCCTTTTGTACGCCGATGATCAAGTCATATTTGCATCGTCGGCGGCCGAGTTGCAAATGATGGTTACTTTAATGAATTGTTCATTGAAAGAAAGGGATATGAAAGTGAACGCAAGTAAGACGAAAGTGATGGTTTTTGAAAGAGAAGAAAGTAAAACTTCATGTAAAATAAGAATAGAAGGGGAGTTGATTGAGCAAGTGGATGAGTTTGTATATTTGGGATGTTTATTTTAGCAGGGATGGTAGATATGATAAGGATATAGAACGACGAGTGAACGCAGGAAATAGAGTGAATGGGGCTCTACACGCTATTGTGAGGAGTCAGAATGTGTCAACTAAGGCACGTATGGCAATTCATAATGCTGTGTTAGTACCGACTTTAATGTATGGTAGTGAAAGTTGGGTCTGGCAGAAGAAGCATGAGAGTAGAATAAATGCTGTAGAAATGCGTTCCTTAAGGAGTATGCTAGGGCTGAATCTGAATGACAGGGTGAGAAATAGTGTAATAAGAGAAAAGTGTGGTTTGCAAGATGACGTTGTGACAAGGATTAAGAAAGGAATGCTTCGGTGGTTTGGTCACGTAGAAAGAATGAACGAGGAAAGAGTGACAAAGCAAATTTATGTTGCAGAAGTGAACGGCAGGGTCGGGAAGGGACGCCCTAGACGAAGGTTTATCGACCAGATCGGCGATACATTGAAAATGGGCCAGATTAGGAGTACCCTTAACCGACGAGCGTGTATGCGTAGATATATGGATGTGAAAGAGGCGAGAGAGGTGTGTCAGGATCGCGCCAAATGGAAGTCCGTAGTCTCTGCCTACCCCTCTGGGTGACAGGCGTGAGTGTTTATGTATGTATGTATGTTCTATTCTTTTTTATTCTGTTCCATTCCATTCCGTTCTATTCTGTTGTGTTCCCTTCTATTCCATTTCATTATATTCCCTTCCATTCTATTTCATTTCATTCTATACCATTCTTGTTTATTCTACTAAAGCATACCACCATGAAATAGCTGCATAATTTATTTATTTATTTAATATTTAATGTTAACACCTAATATATTATGATATAATGAACAATCAATCTATAATAAGACATTTAACATTTATTGTATAAATACATAACTAATTTTCTTTAATAATTTACTTCGTTAGATTGTTATAATAATAATAGATTTTTTGTAATTTTAATTTAATTTTTTTTTGCACGCCATTATCAGGGTAGAATGTAAGGTCTCATTAATAACTGGCAACATCATAATAACTCTTTAATTTTCAAACTCAAACGGCAGTTAATTAATTATGGCGATGTAAATAATGCTCTATCGAAATTAGTACATTGGTTTAACGCCAACAATATGCTCTTAAACTGCACTAAGACAAAGTGTATTAAATTTACAATACCTAATGTAAAACATTCGAATACCAATGTGCTGTTAAATGGGGAGGAGTTGAGTCTTGTGGATACCACTGTTTTTCTTGGTATTACTATTGACACGAAACTTCAATGGGGCCCCCATATATCTAAATTAGCAAACAGACTTAGTTCTGCAGCATATGCTATAAGAAAGATTAGAAGTCTCACAGCTTTCGAGACAGCTAGATTAGTGTATTTTAGTTTCTTTCATAGCGTAATGTCTTATGGAATGTTGCTATGGGGTAATGCAACTTGTTAGCGCCAAACACTGTCAAGAATCGACGCCAGATGTCACTCGGCTCGGCGCGATACCGGTTTGAAGTTCGGCCGAGCGTGGCAAGAGCGCGCGAGTCGCGAGCGAAAAAGGAGTCGTCTGCTAGCTGTGCTTGGAACAGCACGCTGTCATTTTTGTCGGGAACTCGGAATAATTCGGCGCGGCCAGTAAATATACGGTCTACCATTGTGACGCGCATTCCTGCTGGAGAGCTTCCCAGGGACTCATTGTGTCTGACTCAGAATCTGCATAAGTGCATTCGGCAATATGAGCTAGTGCGGCCTGATATTCTAGAACTAACTGTTGCGACGCGAAACGGTAGTGACCTTTGATCCGTAAACTCCGTGTGCGTTTTGTGCGTTAACTCTATGACCAGCGATAGTTAGTGGCTTCTGTAAGTTAGTAAATCGTACGATAGAGTTAATTGACTGTCATCGTGACGAACGAGGAAAGTGACTGTGGTCCGGCGCCGAAGCAGTCTGAAGCGGTGCAGCATTTTGTAGCAGCCTGGAACTCTGCCGCGGCTGGTCGCCTATGCTTGACAAGGCCCCACACATTCACACCTCACTGTACACTACTCGCCATCCACTATTACACACACTCACGGCCTGCCCAAGCCTTGGTGCTAAGTTAGCTTCGGATAATGGTAAGTACTACGTCTTTCTAGCGTCCTCCCATCTGGTTTATTGTAATTAGGAATTTCCACGTGGCCATATTCTGGCCCCGTCCCTCTGCTGCTCGTCGATGGGATTACTCATGGGCCCTAATCCCGTCAGCTTTGGTTGGGGCAGCTAGGAGCGTGTACACGACTGATATTGAAGCTATATTTGTTTTGCAAAAGAGAGCCATACGGGCGATTTATAACCTAAATTGTAAAGAGTCCCCCAGAGAAAAAAGTTAACTTTGGCATCGCAATATATTTATGAAGATGTAATGTACGTACATAATAACATAAATAGCTTTATTAAGAATAAGGATGTGCATACTTTAAACACTAGGAACAAACATAAGCTTGTAATACCAGTTACTAGACTCCACAGAATCAGTAATTTATTTATGGGGCAATGTATACGCTTTTACAACAAAATCCCAGAACATATTTAAAGTTTGTCAATAAACAAGTTTAAAAGTTTTACTAAAGAAAAATTGTACAAAAAGGGTTATTATAATATCAAGGAAAACATGAATGAAAATAACCCTTGGGAATGAGGTGATCGCCACCATGCTGGTTCCATGAAAAATCATTTAAAAATTGTATAAACGATATTATTGTTAAGTGAAATATGTTTAAAAAAGAGTCCCGCTGAGTTTCTTGCTGGTTCTTCCCAGGACTGAGGTATTTTCCGAACCAGTGGTAAATAAAAAATGACTTTCAATAAGTATTATGTAATAATCAATATTGAATAAAAAATTATTCTATTCTATTCAATGTACTACATTCTGGCAATAAAAAAATTAAATTGAATTGAATTGAAACACCATAATAAATAGGCTAACAAAATATATAGAGTATGTTAATACATAATATACAAAACATGTTTGATATCATATCATATCGTATTATACATATCATTAAAACATAGATATACTTAATATAAAATTTATAAATAATAATAAAATACATTTTATATCAAAATTGCAAACAATAAAACATCTAAATATGTATATCATCAACATTCTTAACGTCCAACATCGCTTTTTTTTTAAAAAAAAGTCGTGTACCAAATTCTTAAAACAGCATAACATTGCTGTGTTGCTCATTGAAAGTGTAGAGAATTGTTTTATTAAGGCATTCTATCTTAGTCCTCAGGAGTGAATGTAGTGGCCTCAGGCCACAGCATTCGCTTATCATCAGGGTGGTCAATGTGTTCATTTAACCTTACATATTTTTTATTAGCATTGGCACATGACACTTACCTTTTGAAGAGGACACCAACCATTACTTCGTGTCGCTGTAGTATCAGTAACAAGCATCCACACTATGGCCAGGATCCTGGGGAACGTGATGTGTGGTTCCCCCATCATCATTGTGGGTGTCTTAACTAATGAGTCGAGGTTAGGCTCTGCGTCCAACATTGAGGTTTCCACTATCATCCTCGCTCGAACGAGCGCTTGAATTAATTCGGGAACTAGTATGCCGTCATCTCCTTCTAGGTTCCTATAATCATGAATTCAAAGCAGAGAATGGCATTACTGACGATACGTTAATCTTAATAAATAATCTTGCAGTTTATTTAAGTTCAGTTTACATTTTAAAAACAGTAAGTACTTAAAAATTATATGTTAAAGGACCACCCTGCAACTAGTGGCAAATGACGCATCTGGATGCTTGTGACCACTGTGCGATTTACTAGGAGTTTTCCTCCTCGCACGACTTCTTTGTGGAATCGTTTATCACCTACGATTTTTCCGGACTGATCCGACTTAAGGACCTTCAAGAAACGAACTTGCTCCTTTTTAAAATGCCGGCAACGCACCTGCAATTCCCATGATGTTGCAGTTGTTCGTGGGTGGCGGTCGACACTTTCCATCAGGAAACACTCACAAAAAAATGCTGTACATGGGTCAGCTTCTCGTAATTTGTTAAAAAATTTAAATAGACTTCCACTCAAAGATCATCACCAAACATATTTTGGTTATTGGTTTGTCTGGGTTTATTCTGACTAACATCCAAGGTTGTATTTTTAATTATAGTATACTTTATTATTTGCTTAAGTATGTATCGAACAAATAATCATTGTATGGTGCACTAAAAAAAAATCCTATAGACCTATATATATTTGTTTTGCTTTTCATTAAATTATTTATACGTAGTCAGGTTTTAGTTTTAAATCTTAAAGAGTTGGCAATACGTCTGAATGTTGTAAAGAATGTTTCTATAGGCCACAGCTTCAATTGCACTGCGTACTCGTCTACTTACATACTGTTATACTTATCTACTTGTACGTCACCACATTCAAAATGTTTAGTTCATACTACCTGATATATTAACTTACAACAGGCTTTATACAAATTTTAGCACACAGAAGAAAAGTGTCTACCTTGTAGTAAGTGACTTGTTTTTAATCTTCTTGCGAGTATTGGTTCAAGATTGGAAAGTTTCGAGGTTTGAACACTTTTGCTATAGTTGCCACGCTTGGCAGCTGCAGTTTTTTTTTTGAATTTTGATTTGTTTCCTAGATGATGCTGCTGCCCATCACCTGTTTCTGATTCCCTCTGTTGTCTCTTAACACACCGGCAGGGCGGTGGTAGTGTATATATACGGCATACACGGCCTTTTACACGGTTATTAAAAAAAATAAAAATAAACATACTTCAACAGCTCCAACATTAACTTAGCAACCTTCCCCGACGACGGTTTTGGATAGTTGATACACTCGGTTGTTATAACTCTGGCTGGCGCGGAAGGTTCGGTCTCGTAGGCCGCTACTAGTTCACGTTGCCTCGAGTCCTCTGCCGCCAACCAGTCAAGGGTCAAAGCCGATCGATACGCTTGTATCCCGGACAACGTTGTACGGGTTACATTCCCTGGAGCGTAGTAATAATCTTCTGCGTAAACCTATTCAAAGAAATATCTTCTAATTAATCCATTCATCTAGTATAAAAAGGTACGAGCAGGACCAACGGCTTTAGATGCTTTCTGAAGAACGGAGGTGAAACAGCAACAACAATACTTAGTGCGCCGATATTTAAAAAAAGATTGACTGACTGGCTCTTGGATAAATGTTTTTATAGTTATATAAGGAATATTTTAATTGGCGACATTCATTTATTACTAGATATTATTATTTTAATTTTATTTTACTATGGCTATTATTATTATTTTTTTTCACGAATTTTCGTTTCTTTTGTGAGATATATTTTTATTTAATGTGAATTATATAATCAGTTATCAATTTTTGCATGTCTGCGAGCAAGCTGAACACAAGCACTGTACTTATATTTATTGTGACCTTTTTAGGGTTCCGTACCAAAATGGCCCCCAGCCTCCGCTGTCCGTCTGCCCGTCCGTCCGTCTGTCTGTCAGCGGGCTGCATCTCACGATCCGTAATAGGTAGATAGTTGACATTTTCACAGAATGTGTATTTCTGTTACCGTTTTAACAACAAATATATAAAAATAAGATATAATGACGCGAATACTCTAGTTCACCTCTAGGTCCCAGGGCGAGGATCCGGCCAGGACGCAAGCCGCCTCGTAGGAAATCGTGCGATACCCGCGGACGACTGTGACGGCCATCGCCCTCTGCGGTTTGCGCAAAATGGCGAGAGTGCTGGCCGTCATGTCCATCGCCCACACAGGGGCCCCATACAGGACCATGGACCGCACGATTCCCACGTACAACCGCCTACAGGCGGCGCTCGGGCCCCCCAAATTGGGAAGCAACGTTGAAAGCGCGCCCGCCGCACCCATCAGCTTGGGCGCCAACCGCCGGAAGTGAGGTCCGAATTCCCATCGGCTGTCGAGCACCAATCCCAGATACTTCATGGTGGACTCGACAGCTATCCGAGCCCCACTGACCACGATGTGTGATCCTGGTGGCGGCGCGCGTCGAGGGCCATGGAACACCATGGCCTCCGACTTGTTTAGGGCCACCTCCAGGCCCAAGCGCCGGATGCGGTTCACCACTTGTGACACCGCAGCCATGGCAAACAACGCTGCTTCCCTGTGCGAGCTCCCCCGGGCAGTGACGAGCGTGTCGTCCGCATAACACGTCAATTCGGCGCCCGATGGGAGTTCACCTCTCAGCACCCAGTCGTAGCCGATGTTCCACAGAAGCGGTTCCAAGACCGATCCCTGTGGGACACCACACGACATGACGCACCGACCTGCGCCGTCACGTCCCCGATACGTAACGCATCTCTCCTCAAGGTAAGCCCCTATTGTGCGGCGGAGGTAGGGAGGCACGCGATGGTAATTCATTGCCTCCCGAATGCAACTCCAGGGTAGGGTGTTGAAGGCGTTGGAGATGTCTAAAGACACCGCCAGCACCACCCCACCCCGGGATATTGTCTCCTCCGTCAGGGCCCTCACGCGCGTAATAGCGTCTATGGTGGAGCGCCCGCGACGAAAACCAAACTGGTTCTCGTCCAGGTCCGGCCCCTCTCTGCACAAGTGGCTGACGAGGCGATCTGCGATAATACGCTCAAAAAGTTTGCCCGCCTCGTCGAGCAGCACTATGGGCCGGTACGCGGACGGTGAGTCCGCGGGGCGCCCCTCCTTCCTGAGCAGGATCAGCCTCCCCTGCTTCCACACACTGGGAAATTGACCCTGCTCGAGACATGCCGTGAAGAGCCCCCTCAGCTGGGGCTCTGGCTCCTTCAGAGCCAGGACGAGAGCTCGACCAGGAACTCCGTCGGGTCCGGGCGCTGTGTTCTTAGCCCGGAGTCGCGACACGGCCGATCTCGTCTCTGCTTGCGTCACCTCGGGGACATCGGTGCTCTCCTCTTCTGGAGAGTCTGTGGCTGAGGGCGAAGCCATCGCCGGGGGAACGTGTCCCACTCGCTCAGGGAAGAGAGGCGATACCACCGCCTCTTGAACCTTGAACCTTGAACCAACACTAGCACGGCGATAAAAAACATGTCACAGCATCCACTTACTACAAGCTGGGCACTGGACAGACTGCGCTCGTTTATCAATCTTATATATAAGAAAATTATTATCACCGAAAATTCTTAAATTATACCCGAGCTATTCGTCCATATAAGTGTACTTAAGAAGGCGGTTCTTAAGAAACGCGCAAATAGGCAGTTACGGTTTTAAAAATATTAAAGAACGGACTTCATTGAATGACACCACAAAAAATCTCACTTAGCTAATAGATGGGTCTACACTTTCACCATGTGATATTTATTAAAAAGGTCTTGATTTTAGAGAAAAAAATCTTCAACAATAGTAAAAACACTTAAAACGGCCTTTTCTATTTTAAATCTCTAGACCATTTCGTTATTATTTTAGAAAATCTTTTTGGTTAAAACGTGAGATAAAAGGATAGACAATACATTCACCCTTCATTATTTTTACTAATTCAAACCAAAAAGCAATAATCTAAGCCTAAATATCATTAATTTTTTTACAGATATCGTCCATACATTTTAGTATGAAACGGTTAGGTTTCCGTAATTCGCTTTATATTAGAGAACACGCGTGAAAAAAATTCAGTGCCGTCTCAATTTTCGAGGTGATTGCACGTCCGTTTGTAGCCCGATTTGACAAGTCGAGTCGATACATCTATTGTTTGACATAGCATAAGGGTGGGTCGCAAGTATCGGACAACATTATTTTTATTATTTGTATTCTTCGAGTAAGTAGACTAACTAGGTATGTGAGTTTTATTATGTATTGTTTTTTGTAATTATCAGAAATGAATATGCTTAATAAAATAGTAATTTACTTTAGTATCTATTTCAGGTAGATAATATGAGAAAACGCAAAGAATGTTATTAGAATTTAAAAAAATCTAATTAATAATGTAAGCATATGAAGTGAACCACTCGGAAACTCGCTAAGCAAGCAGTATTTTTAAGGACTTGACTCAACCACTGGTGCAGTGGGGATCCATGATCTGGACCTTGAGTGAATTGTTGATCAGTGGGCTACCCTCTGTGGGGTCCACCCATTATGATATCATTTCATTCTTTCTGGAATAGTCCTGTCCTGATTGACTCGTCCGGTTCTTTGTTAAGGTTACCATTTGTTACCAATAACCCGTCTGGCAAAAGTGGAAACTAAGAAAAATACCCCCTTATGAGGTTATCCGTCGAATAGGCTTATGTTCAGTAGTTGACTTTGATAGATCGTAATGAATGAATGAACAATGTATATTTGATGTCAACATAATTTTAGAAATTGTTAGAACTCTTCAAAACATCGTCATCTACGTAGCGAAACTAAGAATTTTTTTCGTTAAGTTACTTCGTAAAATGATTTTTAATAAATAAATTTTTTAATAATAATAAAATAAATATGAACGTATTAAATATTATTAGGTATTCAAGAAGAGATTGGGAATTTTCATAAACTACCAGCACATTATTAAAATATTTTCATTATTATTTCTATTATATTTAAATTTAAAATTTCTGAGAATAACTGTATCTAGAAAAAATACTGGAATAACTATTATACCTCGCTTTTAGCACTAATGTTATAATAATATATAAATTTAAACGAAAACAATTTTTATTATAACTACTTTATTGTATAAACCATAATATTATACCCATTTATTTAAAGAAAACACGAATTAAGTAAATTATTTCTTCTTAGCAGTAAAAAATTGCCGCAATGGTTGCAACATATAAGATTTGATCCGCCATCTTGAAAGATACTGTTGAGGGGATCATTCACACATAAACCTTGGGGTTGCGCGCATTGCGCAGCGGCTCGCTTTAAAAAAATGATGAATCGGCCATGTCAAAGACCTTACAGTGGCCGTAGGTATGTCGGCACGTGTCGTTTAGTTCAGATGCAAATAACATTTTTAGAAATAATAAATTTAGTTAGTTATTTGATTTGAAACGCTAAAATCCCATTCATAGTACCCTATACATCCCTGACACAACCAACGGGTTGTTTGTTACATACTGTGTAAATTTTTTAAACCACTGTGATTGTTTAAATCTGTATTAAACTTTATTTAAAAAAAAAGATCATTCTTATGAAACCCACATTTCCCATACTATACAAAACATTTTAAATTTGTTCATAAATAAAAAATAATAGTTAAAATAATACCTAGAAAGCGTACACTCTGGCCCCACCCTTTGCCGTCAACTATTAATTACGGGCTCACGGATTTCGCAATGTAACAAACAAATGACATAAAAAAAATGCAAATGGCTACATACAATGCGTGTTTTTTGAGACGTTCATGAACATCCTACGAAGGCGAACACGTGATGAATATGTAACTTGTGCAAAATACAAAAAGTAATTTATTCATGTCCAGGCTGTGTATACTAACACTGCGAGATGCGTCTGTGTGACTAGAAAATATCAATGTAGGTGTTTTATTAGAAGTTCCCACGCTCAAGGACTACAGTCTTAAATATAGCCGAATATGTCACGTTACGTACTCGTAGTACTACATTCTGTGGTCGCGTAATAGAGTAATTAAAGAAATCACTTCCCATTTCTTTGAAAGCTTTAACATGATTATGTAAGTTATATCCTAAAATATATAAAAGATAAGTACAAAAGTTGAATGATATACGCCGCTTCAGATTCAAATTATATTACTTTATAAAACTTTTTCTATTCTATTTGCCTCGTGAAAGCGAAACGAGAGCACAAATGAGTTTTTGATGTTTTATATTTAAATTGAAACGAAATTACAACACAGTACTTTACAACTATAATAGGTCTTTATAAACATAGTCTCTGCCTAAATCACTTTTATAAAGAAAATTGCTTATCGTCACCTTTCTTATCCTTTAGTATATTATATATTCTTGACTTTAGGTTTTTTTTTAATTCGAAAGTTAAGAAACATTTTAGGTTATTTTAAGAAACCCTACAAGGTCTTAATACTAATTCTGGTTTCACGAGTTGTTCTAGCATTACCTATAACATACGTGTGTTATTGAATTTAGTGCTTCTTAAATATTTTTTTATAGAATTAGGGTGACAAACGAGCACACAGTCCACCTGATAGTAAGTGGTTGCTGTGGCCCATAGACGTCTACATCTATCCTCGATTACGAATCAAAATGCAGCTGCGTTGTCACCCGTGAGGGCAAACATGGAATGCCTCGTCTCCAGTAAAAAAGGGTCTCCGGTTCTCTACACTCACCATACGAAACACAGCAACGTTATGGTGCTATTTTACGCTGGTATTCTGTGAGAGCGTGGACCTGCCCCGGTCGAGCTGACCCATTCGTGCTACAACTACACCAGTAATATAGCTGCAGCATGGCTCTACCACGTAAAAGTATCTCTAAAATATCTCTGTATAAAACTGAAATGCGAACGAACTTACAGGCCGTCTGATTACTAAGTGTCCGGTCCAGGGGCTCCTGTGGCCAACATCAAACAAAGACGGCTACTGATGCGTCATCACCTCTGAGGGCTAAGTTCCCTCTTGACTCTCTACCCTTCATAACGGAACCGTATTTGGCGGCAGAAATAAGTGGTAACTACAACCTATTTCTGTGGTACAGAAAAGAAATCATACCACCTAGAATATCCTAATTTTATTTACCCCATGAAATTAACCCTTTTAAAGTATCACGTTAAGCGCGAATTTATTAAAGTATTAGGTCATATTATGGTTTTAGTTTTAATCATATATAATCACGTGTTTCTGACGGATGGATAAGTGTTCCGATTTGATAATTATGGCATTAAATACCAATAATTTGATTATTTAAAAAATAGTACCAACTTCAATAATCATCATACCTTTGATCAAAAAATGTGTTCACTTAAGAGATTATGTGTTACATGTATATTCAAAGTCAAGTAAAGAATAACCAGAGACCTCATATACATAATCCCATTTTATGTATTTTCCAGCTAGAGCACTTAAAATGAAAAATAACTGACTTTTTAACTAAATATTTTCAAATATAAAAACATCAAAAGTTCTATTTAAAAAGTAAAAACAAACATTCAAAGGGAACATTAACATGATAAAAGAATAGCAGTGCTGACTTTAGCAAAAGGGTTTAGTCTTTGGACAAATTCCCGTCGTAAAAATGCTTAATGATCTATCTCCAAAACAAAGTATAAGGGGCGAAAGACTTTATTACAAGAATATATTTCAGTTGAAAATGTTGTTATCAGCAAACTTAGCTTAAGACATTTATTTCAAATTTTCATTTAAACCAAGTGAATTATATATTCTGACTTAAGATTTTAGACTTTAAAATTAGCGTTGATGGATCTATTTTTTGCCATGTTTATTGTCATGTGGTGACAGCTCATGGGAATTTGTCCAACCATTTCGTCATAGTGTTGTAAAAGGCAAATAGTAGCAAGAGAAAGGGCAGAAAAACCTTATGGCTTATGGCTTTCGATAAACAGTGGTATTACCAACCTGAGTAGCCTAATGGCAGGGCGTGGACTGCGAACTCGAAAGGTCATGGGTTCGAATCCGCCATTCAACTACTATCATGAACCACTTCTAACACAAGCATTTTGAACTTACCAGAAGTGGTTAAACGGAATATTAGTAATCTTTAATAGCATTACTAGTATTTTCATTTAAAAAAAATACGTCAGACATAAAATGTCCAGATCAACGACAGACAAGGTCAAAGGTAAAAAAATAAACATTTATAAAATAAGTATATATAGGGTAATTAATATAGTAGAATACCACTGGACTCGAATTACGTAGAAATTTGAATTATCAAAATTCGAATCCACTATAATAACTTCCAATTGGAAGACTTCCTTTTTATATGAATAAGGATGGCAAAAGATCACACGGTTCAACTAATGGTAAGTAGATACTGTGGTCCACGTGCACCAAAATC